CATGTCTCACAGAGGTGGATAAGCCAGCAGACATTGATTGATGTGAGCACACACATATGCACAGTGATAGGTATAGTGATGGTAGTTGGACTTGACAAGAAGCTGGGTTCCTGCATTTGGGTATGATTTCATAAACTTCTCATGAGATGCCCTGATCAAAAACATAGCTTAATCACTTGTTCACTGAAGCTTGAGTTTCTCCAAGTAGAGATCCCTCCGGCCTTTGGCCAAAAACATCATAAATTCTGCATAAATATATTTGGACTAAAGGTAGCTACACAGCAGCTCAGTGAGGCCCAGGACAGTAATGCATGGCCTTGGAGGAGTGATATGTTCACTTGTGAGTCCATTAAAGTAGTTGATGTTAACAGCACAGCTCTGACCATAGTCTCTCAAGACTTTCCTTAAATTGCCTAACTTACCATCCTATTTAAACATACAACTCACAACCCACACCTCTTTGTTTTTTATAGCTCCTATTACTTTCTAAAATATTACATAAGTTACTTATGTTATTAATTGTTTGTCTTCCCCCTACTAGAGTAAAAGCTCAACAAAGACAGGGAACTGTGTTTTGTGTAGTGCAGTCCCTAAAACAGTGCCAAATAGAGTTTCTCAATTAATATTTGTTGGATGAATCAATTAATGTCACTCTGTTATTCAAAGACAAAGAGAGAATCTTAAAAGCAATAAGAGAAAAGCAGTTAGTTACATACAAAGGAGCTCCCATAAGACTGTCAGCTGATTTCTCAGCAGAAACATTTCAGGCCAGAAGGGATTGGCACAAAATATTCAAAGTGATAAAAGCAAGGACTTATGAATGTTATAGTAGGCAGTTAGTTGGCTATTGACCGAAAGGGAGGAGTGAACCAATCAAAAGCCTGATTAAGCTTTACAATGTCCCCGGCGAGTGTACCCACTAAGTGGCAGGTGGGGGGGGGGGGTAGTGCAGGGGAAGTCTTTTCACTAGTGCATGTGCAGTAGAAGCCAAAATGGCGACCATAAAGGAGATGAGAGAAACCTGGGGAAATCTGGGAAAGAGATTGGACGGCTTGAAAGAAAGCCTACCCTCCTCTCCCAGGCCCAGGGAAATAGAAGGAAGCTTAACAAAGGCCCCAGTCTCTTTTTGGCAGCCACACAGGCCAGAGAACAGCTGGAAGCAGAAACTGAGCTCGACTGCTGAAGCCTTGGATGCCAGGGTAATGGCATAGCAACTCTGGGCACTGGCCCTTCTGGTCCTGGTGGGCACCCTGAAATCTGGACTTCTTCCACAGTGAGCTGAGTTGAACGAGTTGCTCGTGGATGAGGCACTGGGCATGGTGTGCCTGGTGGTAGTGAACGCAGCCTACCAGCTGAGTGCCAGGAAGTGCCTTGTCAAGCGTGGCAGCCTTTGCGGGGACATCTGTGCTCTGTGCACCCTTCCTTCTCTTGGACCATAGTTGTGTTTTCTTTTCTCCTAAATGCAAAGGGTCCCCATGAAACTTACAACTAGGGAAGCAGTGGGCTTTAAGGACTCTCCTTTTTGCCTCTATAATTTCCTTCCCTGAGTCTAGGCAGCCCAGTCTGGGCACTCTCCCGCTAATGTGATCTTGCCTCTTCTATCCTAAGCCTTTCCTTTGTTTCACTCTAATAAATCTTACCACTTGTGCTTAAAATCCTCTTATATGTGTGTCCCTGAAATTCATTTCCTGTGATCCCATATCCTCCAGTAATACAACCAAGATTATCCTACCCAGCAAAACTACCATTTAGATTCAAAAGATAGATAAAGAGCTTCCCAGACAAGAAAATGCTAAAGGAGTTTATCACCACCAAACCAGTATTACAAGAAATGTTAACGGCTCTTCTTTAAAAAGGAGAAGGGAAAAAAGATGAAATATATGAATAATAAAATGGCAATAAATACACATCTATAAACAACTTGTAAATTGACCAGTTTAAAATCGCCTGTTGGTGAATTCGCTTTCTGGAACTGATTTTTTCAGGGAAATGGCCTAACCCCTTTAGTTAGAATCAATTTGACTTTATTACTGTACTGAGCAGTGGGAAATTGTATCATTTATTAAAGTAGGGAATATAGGAAGCGAACGTTTTTGAAGAAAGGTAGTGATATACTTTTTTAATGTGTAGAATTTTAGTTGACTGTTGGGGGTTCAGATGTGGATCTCAATACAGATTTAGAAGTCATCAACAGGAGATAACTCAAGACATGGAAGTGAACAAAATCAGTAGCTCATCGAAGCTGTTTCACATGAAGGTCTCTCAGCTGCTGTCTCTTCTCTCTGGCCAGGTTTCTGTTTCTTCTTGAAGCTGGGAATCCTGTATGTAGGGATGGGTTTAGTACCATATTCATGCATTTGATTACCTACCAGAAGGCTAAGACCTCATGCACAGATATGTGACATATATACAGACTTTCATTATATGTAAATCTCCACATGCCCCGTGATGTGCCCTGTATAATATATAGTTTACGTTAGAAATAAAGAAGGAAGCCATTTTCCACGGATTCAGTTTTGGAAAAGCGACAGTACTGCACAAAAAAAAGACAAAATAGCTGTTTTTATTCTGTGTTATAACAAGTCATCAGGTAACATGGCTTTAGAGAAGCCCTGCTGAAGATGCATCTGGAAATGAGGTTGCCATGGAAACTGTCTCTGATGTTGCAAAATCCCCCTAGAGCTTTCAGAGAACCCCCAATTTTGTCTTTGCACTTGGATCTTAAGAAGAGCTTATTTTAATTTCATTTTCATTTTAATGAATTATTTTCCTCCTTTTTGTTCAGTGGGATCGACAACAGGGATTGGGATCCATGAGAGTTACTCTGGGTAGTGGACAATTCTCAGTGAAAGCAGAGTAAATAGACAGATGAGGCACCATGATTGCTGAGTCTTATCTGGGGGTGAGCAAGTCCTCGCTGCTACACCTGCACATCCCCAGAAACACACACAGGCCTGTGTGCAGTGGTTTTAGTTGGACTTGCCTGGAGGAAGATGGATTCTGCCTTTGTGGTTTGATTTCCTATCTTCCCCAAAAGAACTTCTGCCATTAACATAGGATGAAACCTATATAATCCACTGGCTATAAAATCTTGCATCCTTGCCCGGCCAGTGAGGCTCTGTGGTTGAGCGCTGACCCATGCACCAAGAGGTCACCAGTTCCATTCCCATCAGGGCATATGCCCCGTTACAGGCTCGATCCCCAGCAGGGGGTGTGCAAGAGGCAGTTGATTGATGTTTCTCTCATCAGAGTTTCTATCTCTCTCTCCCTCTCCCTTCCTCTCTCTCTACATTCAATAAATATGTATATTTTTTTAAAAAATCTTTCATTCTGAATATGTAAAAAAAAAAAAAACAAACCCTGGTAAGGGGTGTAGACTGCAAGCTGCCCCACTAAACTGTGTTAGTCCCTATATAAGTGAAATTCCTTCTTAGACAATTTGACAATGTGTGTGGGTGACAGTAGCCAGAACTGTTGCCTGGAGACAAAATTGGGTGCTGTCAGTAACATACATCAATGCCTGTGTTTGCTTAAGAAACCCTGCAAGATCCTTGGCCCCCATACAGTTTAGAGTTGGACAGACCAGAATTTGACTCAAGATTCTGGAACCTACAAGCTATGTGTGCTCCTCACTTTTAAAGTGGAGATTGATAGGTCTAACCTATATGGTTGTTGTGAGGAATAAACACAGTAAAATTATTTATGTGTTGCTTTGGGTTCTTTGGATGAGGGTTCCAGATCAAATACACAGTATACAGTACCAGATAAGTGCTCAATACAAGCACAACAATTATTTTTACCACAGAGCTTTGCTCTTAATTGTACTTGGAAAGATGTAATCTGAATGACAGGTTAGGCCATTAAAAGCCCCATCAAGCATTATCAAGGGCCTAAAAAACACTTCTTCTTCCTTAGAGAGCAGTGATCCTGAGGGAGCCTCTGTAACTAGGTCACTGCGGGCTCTGCTCCAGAATAAAACTCCTCAGTCCCCACTTACCCATCGGCGTTATCCAGGTGCTGTCTCACCCCCAGATGCTGGACAGGAGGCTCAGGACAAAGCCAGGCCGGGATCACAGGAGAACCAAAGCCACCTGGAGGTTTTGGTTTCTAAAGGAGAGAAGCAGAAGCAGAGGGGCCTGAGCTCTGAGTTGTCACCTCCTTTCCACCAGGGGGTGGCCATCTGAGTCTCCAGGAGAGAGATGGGTGGGAGCCAGCGCAGTGCAGCACAGTGACTCCAGGCAGAAGGAGGGGAGTGCCTGCCTGGCACGGTAGGTCCTGGAGCAGAGAGGTTAACCTCCAAGCCCGGGAGCCAGACTTGCCTGGGTCCCCTCTGCTGCCACTTAGAAGGACTGGGACTTGTGCAAGGAACTTACTGGTATGCCCAGTGTCCTCATCTGTTAAAGGGGTTTAATCAGATCGCCACAGAGCATTGAAACAGGGCCCACTGGCTTCAGCCTCTCAAGAGCACCTGAGAGAAGGTCTTTACAGAACTTGAGCGAGGGCTTTAGAGGGAAGGAAGCGCCAGAAGAGGGCAGGCTGCAGGGTCACCCCAGCCGGGCTTTGTGGACTTCTCCTCAGTTGGATTCGCCCTTACCTGGGAGGCAAATCTCACCCTCAGTTACTAGAATGGTTCAAGCCACTTTGGGACCCTAAAGACAGAGATGCAGGTACAAGAAAATGCCATCTTCTTTGAAGTTCAAAACCTGTGTTCGAATGCTGTTCTTAAGAATGGGGTTCCAGCCGAAGCCGGTTTGGCTCAGTGGATAGAGCGTCGGCCTGCGGACTGAAAGGTCCCAGGTTCGATTCCGGTCAAGGGCATGTACCTGGGTTGCGGGCACATCCCCAGTGGGCGGTGTGCAGGAGGCAGCTGGTCGATGTTTCTCTCTCATCGATGTTTCTAACTCTCTATCTCTCTCCCTTCCTCTCTGTAAAATATCAATAAAATATATTAAAAAAAAAAAGAATGGGGTTCCTCCCCTCTCTTTCTCTAAGCAATTCTTTTCCTTTTCCCTCCCAGACCCTCCCGGAGGAGAATGGCTGCAGATAACGCCTCCTCGGTGACAGAGTTTATCCTCTCGGGCTTGACAGACCAGCCAGGACTCCAGCTGCCCCTCTTCTTCCTGTTTCTCGGTTTTTACATGGTCACTGTGGTGGGGAACCTGGGCATGATCACGTTGATTGGGCTGAACTCGCACCTTCACATTCCCATGTATTTTTTCCTCTTCAACTTGTCCTTCATAGATTTGAGTTTCTCGACTACCATCACCCCCAAAATGCTGATGAGTTTTGTCTCCAAAAAGAACATCATCTCCTATGCAGGATGTATGACTCAGTTATTTTTCTTCTGTTTCTTTGTGTTTTCGGAATCCTTCATCCTCTCAGCCATGGCATATGACCGCTATGTTGCCATCTGCAAGCCACTGTTGTACACGGTCACCATGTCTCCGCAGGTGTGTTTATCTCTCTTGCTGGGTGTCTATGGGATGGGGATTTGGGGGGCTTTCGCTCATACAGGAAATATAATGTTTCTGACCTTTTGTGCTGACAACCTTGTCAATCATTATATGTGTGACATCATTCCTTTCCTCGAGCTGGCCTGCAACAGCTCTTACATAAACTTGCTGGTGGTCTTTGTTGTTGTGGCCATTGGCATTGGGCTGCCTATTGCTACCATTTTTATCTCTTACGGTTTCATTCTTTCCAGCATTTTCCACATTAGCTCCATTGAAGGCAGGTCCAAAGCCTTCAGTACCTGCAGCTCCCACATAATTGCAGTTTCTCTTTTCTTTGGTTCAGGAGCTTTCATGTATCTCAAACCGCCTTCTGTTTTACCCCTGGACCAGGGGAAAGTGTCTTCTCTGTTCTACACCATTGTGGTGCCCATGTTGAACCCCTTAATCTACAGCCTGAGGAATAAGGATGTCAAATTAGCCCTGAAGAAATCCTTGGACAGAATTACTTTCTTTTGGAAAAGGAAACACAATGGATGAAGAATTTTTAATTAGATTGTTAGTATTACTATTTTTATTATTTACTTATTTTTTAATATATTTTATTGATTTTTTACAGAGAGGAAGGGAGAGGGATAGAGAGTCAGAAATATCTATGAGCGAGAAACATCGATCAGCTGCCTCCTGCACCCTCCCCCCCACCCACTGGGGATGTGCCCCCAACCAAGGCACATGCCCCTGACCAGAATCGAACCTGGGACCTTTCAGTCCGCAGGCCGACGCTCTATCCAATGAGCCAAACCGGTCAGGCCTACTATTTTAATTTTTGATAAGGAATTCAAGCTTCATGCTTTTCTATTCTATATATAAAGGAAATTTTAACTGTCCCAAATGGGTTTATTCTCTCTCATTCTCATCCCCTAAATCTTCCTTCTTTATTTTATGAAATAGTTTCTACGATTACAGAGTTCCCAATATTGAATGGGCCTTCAGAATCACTTAGTCTCAAATTTTATATAATACATCAAATTTTGGAGAGGCAGAAGTATTTGTAGGTTGTCCGGCAATATAAAGCTTTCTGGTGGCAGAGCTGGAACTGAAAAACAAAAGTGAAAACTGTTGTTGAGTTAGTCTTGGCAAAATGACAAGAGCAGTGTCTGATGAATTTCGTAGTGTGGAAGTGGGAAGTATGTTAGGTTTCACAGGCAAGTATGGCGACCACTGGATTGGTGGGTGGAGTAGTAGGGACATAGGTGAGTTAGGACTTCCAGGGAAGAGAAATTGAGTTTTATGGGGTATAAAGATGCTTGGTAGAGGTGTCATATCAAGGATGAGACAAAGTTTAGAGTGTCATTTCTAGGGTTATCTTGGTTGTGGTCCAAGACAATTGGGAACTGCAATACCTAATATGGTAGTCATGGTCATGATGGTATTGAGCACTTGAAATGTGGTCATCCAAATTGAGACAGACTGTAGGTGTGCAGAGTAGGTGTAATATACACACTGAATCTTGGAAGAATATGAAAATTAATATAAAACATCTCATTGACACTTTTTACTTGATTACATGTTGAAATGATAACATTTTGGGTATACTAGTATTATGTTAAATAAAATATTTCATTAAAATGAATTTTTTAAAAAATATATATTTTATTGATTTTTTTGCAGAGAGAAAGGGAGAGAGATAGAGAGTTAGAAACATCGATGAGAGAGAAACATTGATCAGCTGCCTCCTGCACATCTCCCACTGGGGATGTGCCCGCAACCAAAGTACATGCCCTTGACTGGAATCGAACCCGGGACCTTTCAGTCCACAGGCCAACGCTCTATCCACTGAGCCAAACCAGTTTCGGCCTCATTAAAATGAATTTATCTGTTTCTTTTTTAAGGTATCTACTAGAGCAGTGGTTCTCAACCTTCCTAATGCCACGACCCTTTAATACAGTTCCTCATGTTGTGGTGACCCCCAATTTCATTGTTACAAATTGAACATAATTAAGGCATAGTGATTCATCACAAAAACAATATGTAATTATATATGTGTCTTCCGATGGTCTTAGGCGACCCCTGTGAAAGGGTCGCTCAACCCCCAAAGGGGTCGCGACCCACAGGTTGAGAACCGCTGTACTAGAGGGTTCAGAATAATACATGTGGCTTGCACTCTGTTTCAATGGGTGACACAGGTCTGGAGGATGTCACAGAGCCCTAGGTGGCTGTGGGCACAGATTTACTTATCAGGGCAGCACCAAGCTGTTGCTTCTTAGGAGAGGCAATTGCTATAGAATTTTCAGGGATTGCAGAAGCCTTGATATTGTAATAATTGCATATGGGTAGGAGATGGTGACCTCATGATAAGTTCATAAATCTGCCATATTAAGTAATAGAAAGTGGAGCTTTATATTTTTAAAAAATCATTATTTTTAGAGAATTATTTAGAGAATAATTTTTGTCTACACTCAACAATTATTGGTAAAAGTTCCTTTAAGAAGCAATGGCAAATGAAGTGCTGGGAAATATTTTGACTGATGGCCTTTTCCTTAGGAATATTCACTTCTGTTGGGAAATAGAGGACGTTTGATTAACTGTTTAATTTTGCCCTTTGATTTTGCTTAATGTTGCCAAAAAGAAAAGAATAAGCATATAAAGGGAGGATTGAAATGAGATTGAATAGGCCCCTGAATTTAGGGAACCTAAAGCCTGTGTTATTCGTCTATATTGTAGTATATATGGATAGATTTATTATTTTATATTGCTGTGTAGTATCCATTATATGAATATACAATTATTTAACCTGTTAATAAAATTAGATACTTTCAAATTTTTGCCTATTATTAATAGAGCTTTTGTAACTGGACAATAAATGGATCCGTGCTGTCTGTCACTACTTGAGTCAATTAAGCTGAGACAGGGTTGAATCATATATGAGCGTTTATTCCAATAATGCCGGCAGCATGGGAGAGCAGCAGGTCATCCACAAAAATCTGCTCTGCACCCACCATAAGCCAGCTGCTTATATTGGGTAGAAGGACAAAGATTACATGGGAACGTAGCCAAAGGGTATGCCAATGGGCAGTTAACAGGTAAGCAGAGGCCTGGGGATCTTCAAAGGGCTTAGTGACATGCAGTGGCTGGGGTCTTCAAAGGGCTGGCATCCTGGTTTCCACAGCAAGGTTGTTCATCTTTCCATAGTAATAGGCAATGGGGAGGATGGGCAGCATTTCCAGGTGAGCTCCCAGGTCCCGTGTGTAACTGCCAACCAGGTTAGAATGTGCCTTCTTGAATCAGAACAAAACAATGATGGTGAATACAGCATGATTAATATTTCTTACAATTCTAGCTGGTTCCCAATATTCTATTTCTGCCTCCATCACTTTTAGAAACATTTTTGAACATGTATTTTGATTGAACTAAGCAGACAATTCTTTTGGATAATACTTAGATGTGGATCTGCTGGATCATAGAGTAGGCTTATGTTTCGCTTTGGTAAATACTGCCAAACGGCCCTGGTCAGTGCGGCTCAGTGGGTTGGAGCGTTGTCCTGTACACTAAAAGGTGACAGGTTTGATTCCAGTCAGGGCACATGTCTGGGTAGTGGGTTCGATCCCCAGTAGGGGGCATGCAGGAGGCAGCAGGAGGATGGGCTGCATTTCCAGGTGAGCTCCCAGGTCCCGAGTGTAACTGCCAACCAGGTTAGAATGTGCCTTCTTGAATCAGAACAAAACAATGATGGTGAATACAGCATGATTAATATTTCTTACAATTCTAGCTGGTTCCCAATATTCTATTTCTGCCTCCATCACTTTTAGAAACATTTTTGAACATGTATTTTGATTGAACTAAGCAGACAATTCTTTTGGATAATACTTAGATGTGGATCTGCTGGATCATAGAGTAGGCTTATGTTTCGCTTTGATAAATACTGCCAAACGGCCCTGGCCAGTGCGGCTCAGTGGGTTGGAGCGTCGTCCTGTACACTAAAAGGTGGCAGGTTTGATTCCAGTCGGGGCACATGTCTGGGTAGTGGGCTCGATCCTCAGTAGGGGGCATGCAGGAGGCAGCAGATTGATGTTATGCTCTCACATCACTGTTTCTCTCTCTCTCCTTCTCCCTTCCTCTCTTTCTAAAAATCAATAAAAAATACTTTAAAATTTTTCAAACAATTTAAAAAAAGAATAAAGTTAAAAGATCTAAGAGACAAAGATGTAGTCTCTCATTATCCATGCCAAATAGGCAGTTTTGCTTTGCATATGGTAACAAACTAATGAGTGACAGGCTGAGAAGTTAAGTTTCAGCTCAATCATCAACATCTATGGTTTCAGGCTGGATGGGGAGGTCACACAAGAATAAGAAGATTGTGTTCATTTTAGTCATTAATTTTGTGTTTTGCCTGTATTAAAAAACAGGAGAAGAACATTTTAGGGATCCGTGTATTTCACATGGTTGAGTCTTAGGTGTCTCTGAGATATCCCAGTGGGGGTGTCTGACAGTCTGTTGACAGTACAGGACATAGGTCTGAGCTGGACATATACATTTGGCAGATATCAATTGTACCGACCACTGCCAATGCCATGGAATATATTTACTAAAGATAAACGATGTTTTATAACCGTGGGTCCCTGACCTGTTTTGGCCAATGTTGTATGGCAAGCATGTCAAACTCGCGGCCCACAGGCCGCATGCAGCCCACAATGAATATTTTTGCGGCCCAGCCAATACAACAGTATGTAAGAAACGTTTTAATAAAAATATCGTAACTTAATTTTTACAATATCCTGTTATACATAATTATTAATAACAAACTACAACGTTCGCTAATGACTGATGACTATAATGGTGTTGCATTCACTTTCCTTACACGCTATACGCGCAGGCGCACCATTTCTCCCCACTAATACTAGCAGCGAATATTTTAGTAGCTGATGGCCACGTCATTAGTCTTGGACTGACTTGTTTGGTGTGGGCAACAGGAAACTTTTTGCTTTCGGAGAACGAGAAAAATAGGTTTATCTGCATTATGCTTATTAATTTGTGCAGTTATTCAGTGTCTGGTAAGTTAATGTTCAAGAAAAAAATATTAACTTTATTAAAATGTTCTATTAGTTTATGTTAACGATTACTCATTTTTTTTAAAATATATTTTATTTTTTTACAGAGAGGAAGGGAGAGGGATAGAGAGTCAGAAACATCGATGAGAGAGAAACATCGATCAGCTGCCTCCTGCACGCCCCCCACCGGGGATGTGCCCGCAACCAAGGTACATGCCCTTGACCGGAATCGAACCTGGGACTGTTCAGTCCGCAGGCCGACGCTCTATCCACTGAGCCAAACTGGTCAGGGCATTAACGATTACTCATTTATTTCAGCCCTTTGTATTCAGCATGTCTGTATTGAAATAAACATACATTTCTATGAAAATTGAAGCTTTTTTTTTTTTTTGCGGCCCACATACATTTAAACCTTGTTTATTTGGCCCGTGTTAGCCTTTGAGTTTGACATGCTTATTGTATGGCAATAATAATTGAATTATGATAATTTGATAATAATGGAACCTGGTTTCAGTGGATCCTGGGGGTTGCACCAGTTCATGCTGGTCACATGCGTGGACGATGCCTGAGATACCAGCCCACTCGAAGCAGAGCAGACTTCGGATTTTTTTCATTCCAAGAAACAGACCTGGAGACAAGTACATCTGGTACAACCCAGTGGTGGGAGGACAAGGAAGCCAGTGCCTGAAAAGGACCCCCCTCCCTTTGCATACTCCCTCCAGCTGTTGCTTTATCCTTTACTTGTGATAAACCTGTTCTGTGACTATACAAGGTTTGAGTTGTGAGTCTTTTCAGCAATGGAATACTTAAGACAATGCATAATTAACACATCAGCAGGTGATGGGTAAACCATAGGAAGGAATGGAATTACTCTGGGAATTTACATGGGATGAGGGGGATGAGAAAGGTGAGGTTGGAAATTTGAGGCACTTACCACTTAAGGATGGGCAAGGAAGAGGGCGGCAGGTGTACTGTACCGAACATCCAGAGGTAGATGAGGCAGGGTTGGATATTCCTGTTTGCAGCGAGGAAATCCCAGGCTGAAAACATGTTTACTTCCCCAAGACCACACAGCTGGATGTTTAGACTCCTAATCCTGGTTACTTCAACTGCAGCATTACTTCGGGAGGAAAACTAGTCTTTGGAAAAGTTCCCTAGAGAAAGCTTTGAAAAGTACCACCACCACCATCACCACCACCACCAACAACAACAAAACCCCACCATGTTCCAGAGGTTTTGTGGCTTTCCTGGCCAACAGAGATGTTAAAAAATAGCAGAGCCTTCACCATCCTGCAATTAGGATTTCTGAGACATCTTCATCCAACAAGGAAAGTCTTGGTTTTTTTTACAAGATTAGTGACTCTGCAGTTTTAGGATACATTTTTTAAGTCAATTAAGACGTCCCCACCTGCCCTCCATCAAATTGCCTTCAAGTAAGGCCCCCTCCTGGCATTTTCTCCCTCCGGCACAATCTTGGAACATGGTATGCCCTTAACACGCCTTGAAATCCTGTATTTTGTATTGCTAGTGTTAATGCAACGTGCTTTTTATAGCAAATACATTCCTCAGATAAATGTCACTTAGAAATGGATTCCTGTTTTCAAAGCCCCAAACTGGGGGCTGTGATGAAGCTGAGCTCTGGGCAGCTCCTGACGTGGGAAGGTTTCCAGCTCTTTCTGGCACCGAGTGACTCTCCTTTGCCAGTCCTCCAAATACCTTCACCCTGCAGGTCACAGATAAAAGGTACGGCATCTAGCAGGACTGTCGGTGTTCTGTCAACATTAGCATATTGCAGACGTCCAAGATCTTTGCCGTAAATCCATGTATGGGTAACTACATTATTTGTTTATCTTTTGGAAATGGGTTTTCCACGTAGCTATTTATTGGAAACCTCTGATGAAATCCTTAGTATTGGGGGGGAAAAGCAAATGTATCCTGAATTTATCTAGTTTCAAATGTGGGCTTTTATTGAACCATATTTATATTTCTTTCTATTGAGCTTAGTAACTGTTATAAAGAGTGTGCACATTTGTCATTGTGTTCAATATTAGGTATGTCATATTAGGTGTGTAAGTTAAACAGTATTTCAACATAGGATCTTGCCTCATACTCACTTTTAATATAGTTGGGGCTGGAGAACTTCAAATCCCAAAACAGTAGATGAAAAGTAAAGGGCAGAATTTGACCAAGTGGATAAAAAGAGACATGGAAGCCCAGCCGGTGTGGCCCAGTGGTTGAGCGTCGACCTATGAACCAGGAAGTCACGGTTCAATTCCAGGTAGGGCACATGCCCAGGTTGTGGGCTCGATCCCCAGTAGGGGGTGTACAGGAGGCAGCTGATCAATGATTTTCTCTCATCATTGATGTTTCTATCTCTCTCCCTCTCCCTTCCTCTCTGAAATCAATAAAAATATATTTGAAAAAAAAATACATAATACATATAATTTACATAAACCTACCAGCAAAGTGCTTGGTACATAGGTTTCACTACATGTTAATTACCCCCCAATGTAGACCTCCAAGATTCCTTCTAATTCTACGATTCTATGTTAAATACATATATCATTTATGTATAGATTTGTATGTTAAGGAATTGAAAATGTTTAATGAAAGTAAATAGAGATTAAATATAATGCAGAACCACGTAACTCCTAATGGCTGCTTTCTCCGGAGCTCACTGAGGCCATTGCAAATGAAGACATTCCAGCTGCCATCTTTTCTCTTTGGTGATGTCTGTGCCTCTTCTCATGAAGCTGTAACTTGTGTCTGGCCAACTGGTGTGAGTGATGCTCAATGCCCTTGAGGCCAACCTTGGGCCACCCGAAATCTGAGGGTTAATGCGTGTGCAGGGGAGACAATGTGTTGCATTTACATGTATTACGCGTGAAGTGACATAAATAAACCATAATTTTTAAAAAGATGGAAAAAATAGAAATAGGTGATAAAGAAGCACTATATACAGATTCAAGTTTTCGAAAGAGGGCAGTTCTGTAACTAAAGGAGCGCAGTTAAGAATAGTGCTTCCCACACTGCTTCCTGCTTGGGCTTCATCTGCTCTTTAGGGAACATGACTTTAGTGAAAAACCCCAGCTGAGAAGATTTTGAAATGTAGTTCCCATGGCAACAGGCTCTGAAGTGACATAAATCCAGAGGAACTTTGCTGGGTGGTTCTATCATCCAAACAAGGATCCTCCAAAGCTCAGACAGAAAAGTCAACTTGTAAAGAAGCTTGAGTCTTCTCTGCTCTCTGCGCCTCAGGGAGCCCTTTTCCTATGGGGCTTGTTGCAGGTTTGTAATAAGGATTTCTTTTCTTTCATTGTGATTTGATGACAGGGGTTGGGATGTATTGTTATCACCACGGCCGTGGCAGATTTCTCAGTGTAAGATTTCTGCTTTAGGCCTGTTGTTATTGAGCAGTGACCAAGCTAGATCCCCGTGTGGAGGACTGGCAAGCAAATGTCACCCAACACTTACACATACAGCACGTACACAGGACAGATACAGGGGTTGTCGTTATCTTGCCAAGTAGCACAGGCAACTGCCAACATGGCTCTGATTATAAACCCAGTTCATGATGACTCCAGCTCTCCCATCCTGACCAAAATATACCTCTCATCAATTGAGTGCTGTGTGAAATTCCATCATGAGAGATCTGTCTGTGGGTTAGAGATGTTGTCTTCATTATTACTTTTTTAATGAATGGAAGAGGGTCTGGAATGTGGATGATCCTTGGCCAGTCTTTATGAGACGGTGCTGATGAATTTGTGAGATCTTTCCTGAGAGCGGGTTTTAATGGAGAATCAAAGGTAGAGCAAGTGTTAGGACTCTGAGTATTTGGGGAGGAGGAATGTTGACTGAGATTAGAAATGGGTACAGAAAGAGGAGTTTGGAGACGGTCATGGAAACCTCTCCTGACTTTGTAATTTGGCCTTTGTGGTATGGAAGAGTGTGGCTATTTGAAAAATAGGGCATCGGTGGTGAGACAGGAAGTAGGGACAAGGTAAATAGTCGAGGGCCTTGAACCTGTCTGTGGATGAAGCATGTTGGAGAGATGGACCTTAGATATAGTTTTGAAGAAAAGATATTCCTTCAGAGCTTCGCTAACTTCTATCAGTTCTCCTCTCCCACCTTACAGTAGCCTCCCTCTGGCCCCTTTCAGCATGATCTAGCTCTTAGCAATTCTTTCCTCTAAGCCCCAAAATGTGATGTAGCTGTACTGAGTTCAAGTAAGACTGAAAGACCGGGATACAGAGGGATAAGTTTTGCCATGAGAGACGGGGAGTTAGAAAAAGATCAAAGCCAGCAAGACAGCAAAACAAACGTTGCTGGGTCCAGTGGGATGAAGGACATCAAGCTACAAGGCCATCACCCTGAGGGTCACTCTGAGCGTCCTGGAGCCTGAAAGAGAGCTGGGAAGTTAGAGGATGGGGCCCATCGAGGAGAATTCCAACAGTTAAGCAGTTGCGGGGGGGGGGGAACAGTTCTTAACTAATGGGGATTGTTCTTCACGGTCAAGTTCAAATTCCAAGAGATGAGAGAGATTTGCTTCTCCCTGGACTGGTATTGGGCAAGTCCTGTGATACACTGAAATGTAAGTGGTGTGTACAGTGCACTCCTTGAACTTACATAGCATTTTATTTTTACCCTTTCTAGATCTTACACTTTTTTTTGCATATTTAGTTATATGTGTTCTCTCATCTTTTCCAAGAGAATGTCAGAGCCTTGAAGACAAGATTTTATACATTCTACTAGAGGCCTGATGCACAAAATTTGTGCAAGGGGCTCAGCCCTCGCAGCCGCAGTGGCTTGTCTCGGCCCTCGCAGCCTTGGCTTCATCCAGAAGGTCGTCCCGGAGGTCGTTTGGCTGTCCAGTCTAATTAGCATATTATGCTTTTATTATTATAGACTATTTCTCACAGGGAGACATTAAACACTGTTGTTAAGAAGGCCTGATTTGGAGTTACATCTGTTAAATTACAACTCTAAAATGGGAGTGATAAAACCCAGGTAATAAGATTGAGGGGAATTAAAATGAAGTATTATATTTAAACTAGAGGCCCGATGCACGAAAATCGTGCAAGAGTAGGCCTTCCTTCCCCTGGCTGCTGGCACCGGCTTCCCTCTGGCACCCGGGACCTGGGCTTCCCTCGAAGCCAGGAAGGATGGAAGGACATTGGGTCTAATTAGCATATTACGTTTTTATTATTATAGATTAGAGGCCCGTTGCACAAAGATTCGCGCAATAGGCCTTCCTTCCCCTGGCTGCCTGCACTGGTTTTGGTGGGCATAGCAGAGTGACACGAATTTGCATGTTTCTCTTTTATTAGTGTAGATGGTATTGATCCTGGCACGCTGAGGTCAGTAAGTGTTAGGACAGGAAGCGTGTTGGGGACACATAACAAGTGTGCAATAAGTGATAGCTGATTATTTTTGCACAATGTTTTGCATTTTACTGAGCAGATGTTCATTGAACAAATAATGTTTTTAAACCCCCACTCAGATATTATCAAGGGGATAAGCAAAAGTTCCTCCTTTTTAAAGTTAGTTTCTAGGGGCTGTGATCCCAGGGGAACCTCTGGCTTCCTACTTCTAATCAGGTCCCCAGATCTCTAAACCCAGAAGAAAACTGCTCCGTCTCCTGTCACCAGCTGGCACTGATCACAAGCGAGAATACTGGCTCCCTCCCCCAAACCCCAAGATAGAAAAAGCCTCAGGGCAAAGCCTCAAATGTTCTTTAGCTCCTTTAGCTCAGAAGGAATTCTAAGTCAGTCCAAGCAGGACAGAAGCTACAGGCCTGTTGTTAGGACCTTCATCCGGGTTAGCATCGTGACCAGTTAGTTATCTGAACGGCTAAGGAGCAGGTGCTCCGCTGAAACTTCAGGCTGAAGGCGGGTGAGTGACTGAATCTGGGACGAACTTTTCCTAAGTCGCCCACCTCAGGTGGTAACGGCCTGAAGGAAGATCGCCTCGCCTTTTCACTGTCTAACTTGACCGTGAGGTGCACGCTCCCGCCAGTGGGCCTGGCTCTAACCTCTGAGAGGACTTTCCCCAGAGATTGAGCACAGTTTTGATAAACCCGGGCAGAAACCAGAGTAGGAAGGACACAATAAATGGGCCAAAGGAAAGCTCTGGAAGTTCCTTGGTGCATCCTGGGGACCCTCACTGCGGAGGCAGAGTCCAGGGTGTTGGGAGAACAGACCCCAGGCATCCAGAAAGCCTTTCTGCTGAGGTCCAATGTCTGCCTGAGGGGATCTAATTCTCAGGAACGGGGAGGTGACCGGGAGGGCAGCAGCGTCTCTCTCTCTTCCTCTGAGCAACTCTCCCTTTGTTCCACAGAATGCCCCAAGCGAGGATGGTGGCTGAGAATTCCTCTGTGACGGAGTTCATCCTCGCAGGCCTAACCCACCAACCGGGGCTCCAGCTGCCCCTCTTCTTCTTGTTCCTGGGCTCCTACATGGTCACGGCGGTGGGGAACCTGGGCTTGCTCACACTGATCGGGCTGAGCTCTCACCTGCACACCCCGATGTACTTCTTCCTCTATAATCTGTCCTTCATAGATTTCTGCTATTCCACCGTCATCACTCCCAAAATGCTGATGAGCTTCATCTCGGAGAAGAACGTCATCTCCTACGCAGGGTGCATGACTCAGCTCTTCTTCTTTCTTTTCTTTGTCGTCTCTGAGTCCTTCATCCTGTCAGCCATGGCATACGACCGCTACGTCGCCATCTGTAACCCACTGGTGTACGCAGCCACCGTGTCTCCCCGCGTCTGCTTACTTCTTTCATCCGGTGTCTATGTGATGGGGTTTGCTGGGGCCATGGCCCACACCGTGTGCATGGCCAGACTGACCTTCTGTGCCAACAATCTGGTTGACCACTACATGTGTGACATCCTCCCCCTTCTGGAGCTGTCTTGCACCAGCACCCACGTGAATGTGCTGGTAGTTTTCGCGGTGGTGGGCATCGACATAGGTGTGCCCAGCCTTACCATCTTCATTTCTTACGCCCTCATCCTCTCCAGCATTCTCCATATTCGTTCCACCCAGGGCAGGTCCAAAGCCTTCAGCACCTGCAGCTCCCACATGATTGCAGTTTCTCTTTTCTTTGGGTCCGGGGCATTCATGTACCTCAAGCCATCTTCTCTTTTACCTCTGAGCCAGGGGAAGGTGTCTTCCTTGTTCTACACCATTGTGGTGCCGATGCTCAACCCCTTAATCTACAGCCTGAGGAATAAGGATGTCAAAGTTGCTCTGAAAAAAACCTTGAGCAAAAAAACAAATTCATTCACCTGAGAAAGGAGCAATAGGGACTTTAGGAAAGGGACTGTTTTCCTTCCACAGATGATTCAGTTTCCGTTGGTTGCATGGAAGAAGTTTCAGGGAAAAACCAAGATGGCGGCATAGGTAAAGACCGGAGTTTGCTGACTCGCACAACCACTTCAAAAATACAACTAAAAGATGGAACGGACGTCACCCAGAACCACAGGAAGGCTGGCTGAGGGGAAATTCTTCAACTAGAAGGAAGG